CAGCACTTGCCAAACATGGTCAGGGACATAGCCTCGGACCATCGCCGGAAGAAGCCGCTCAATCCATATGTGGTAGTCATGACTCTTCATCCCGTTGACTCGTAAAGTGCCTAAGTTCACTCCCCTGCTCAGATTCACTCCATATCCATCTGGGAACATTAACGTCTTGATCAATTTTAGTACTTCCCTCCTTTGATCGGGTTCCAAGACGAAATCGACCTTAGGTCTTTTCCATTGTTTGTTTCGGCCACTAGGAGGCCGCATCTCTTGCTTCGGTCTATCACACAACGTCGCTAGGTCCACTCTAGCCTTAACGTTGTCCTTAGACTTGTCAGTGTTCATGAGAGTTCCCTAAAGTGCCTCGGCGATATTCTTTTCGGTCTGCATTACATCAATGTTATGTGGCAGAAGAAGGTCATCGAAATAGGGGAGCCTCGTCAAGCCAGACTTATGAGTCCACATATGTTCCTCACTATATCCCACAAAACCACCTCCTTCATTGGGCACGAGAGCATCTTTCTGAGCACGCACCTCAGCACCACTCTTCATGCGTGGTTTAGGGTCTATCACTGCAACACCTTTCGTAAAGTTCTTGATGTCTTGTCTGAATGGATGGTTAGAAGGGAGGAATTGACGATGCCTATCGAACGACGAATACTTGCCACCCTTCTTCAACCAAATGAACCTCACAGCTTCCTTGCATATTGGGCACGGGAACTTCCCGTGGACACACCAGGCGGCGAATAACCCATACGCCAGGAAGTCATGCAGGGAGTAGTGGTACCAAACATGCATCTTGAAGGATGATTTTGTAGCTCGGTCGTATGTCCATACCCCCTTCTCCCAAGCGTTGATCAATTCATCAATCATAGGATCCATGTACACACCCATATTACTCCCCCGGTGTCCAGGAATTATCAACAACAAAAAGACGTTATGCCGTTGAAAGGAGATGCCTGGGGGGAGATTCAGGGGGATAACAAACACGGACCAACATGTGTATGGGGCAGACAACTGTCCATAAGGATTGAACCCATCTGTTGCCAGCGCGACACATACATTACGAGCCTCAGCTGCTTTGTCAGGATGTTTGTCATTAAAGTACATCCATGCTTCGGCATCGGACGGATGCACCATTGTCCATGGCTTGTACCATACACCTTCTTTATGCCATGTCATCTGTTTCGCGGATTCCTCGGTCATGAAAAGCCGTTGGATCCTCGGCACAAACGGAAGGTGTCGTAGGACTTTCGCGGGGATCGTAAGCTGCCTCTTCTAGCCATCTCTAGAGTCTACCTCTAGGTACCTTGAGGATTTATACTTCGGACAGTACTTTGCATCCTTGTGATCTTTCCTAAATAAGATGCACCCCTTCGGACAAACATGTATCTTGTCATATGGCATCTTAAGCATACGAAGTAGTTTCTGTGACTCGTGCAAGTTCTTCGGCAGAATGTGCTTCTCCGGTAGCATGCTGCCAAACACGGCCAACATCTTATCAAAGCCTTCGTGACTCAGATTTAACTCGGCCTTCAACCCCATAACACGTCCAATGGCATCCAGCTGAGAAACCGTTGTACTCTCATGAAGGGGTTTCTGTGCCGAGTCCAACATTTTGTAGAAGGCCTTAGCGGCTTCCTCCATATCATCCTTCTCACGTCCTTCTGCGAAGTGAGCTTGGTGAGTGTCATCTAGCATGTATGCTACTCCGACATCATCATCAAAAGCCTCGAGCCGTGGTCTCACCACCTCCGCTCTTATACGATCTGCTTCACCATGGTGGATCCACCGGTGGTAGCCAGCCGTATAACCATTGTACACAAGATGTTTACCCATGGTCACCTTGTCTACCCTTCTGTTGTTGTCACATTTGCTACAGGGACACCAAAGTTTAGAATGTCCTTTAGCTACACCCGAGCTCCATGCATGTTCCAAGAAAGCATCTGTCCCATTCACCCACTCAATGTCAAAGTCACTCTTGCTTCTCTAGCCCATGTACATCCACTGATGGTCTTCCATCCTTCCACATATACAGCACATAGTAATGTAACCATCAATTGCATCTACGTGGTGTTCCTACTCTCTAATAGGTGAGGATAGGTCCTAATCCCACCCGCGGATGCGTAGATGAGGTTAGTTTCCATGCTCCACTCCCTATCCGAGAGAGAATTTCGGCAGCACCTCCCCGCTGTTCTCCCGATGCACGTCCTGTAAGGGAGAGTGTGTATCCGGAGAACAACAGGGGGTGATGCCGAAACACCATCTCGGACCGGAGCGGACCATGGAAACTAACCCATCTACGCATCCGCGGGCTATCTAAAAAATGTGGACAATCCGAAACAGATACGGTCGCAGATATACAAAGATCAGATACCTCCAACCGTATCTCTTTTGGACGGAGACACCTAACTAGGTTACGTGACCAAAGACCACATATAGATAGAGGGGTTATACCTAGGGTGCGGTGAGGTCGGGGTGGCGGGCGGTGGAGAGTCGGTGCGATGGTGAAGTCGAGTCAGCAGTGTGAGGAAGACCCAGCAGCGCCGATTTAAGATGATCGGGGTCACCGAGTCCCTCCCACAAGTCCTGCAAAAAAGGGCAAAATGGTTAGTGTCGACTCAAAATTCCGGCAGCACCTCCCCTGCACGGGGAGGTTCCCAAAACCTACAAAAAACATGGCACAAAGGCCAACAACCACATATATACCAAACATGGGCACGAAGGCCAACAACCACCAATATATCAAGAGGAGTCATGTACTTTAGTTCTCTTTCCATGCAGATGAAAGTATTAAAATAGTACAACAACAATTACTACTAACCCTACAACTACTACTAACACTACTACTAACAACTACTTAACTACTAACAGTACTAATACTAAGAACTACTTAACGATTAACAACTACTACTACTAACCACTACTACTTACTAACTACTACTATTTACTAACTACTACTACTACTAAGCCTACAACTAACACTACTAACTACTACTAACAACCACTACTACTTACTAACTACTACTATTTACTAACTACTACTACTACTAACCCTACAACTAACACTACTAACTACTACAACTAACACTACAACTAACACTACTAACTACTACTACTAACACTACAACTAACTACTACTAACACTACTAACTACTACTACTACTAACACACTAAGGGTAGGGCTTACCTTGGCGGCAAGAACGGCAAGAGCGAGGGTCAGCGGCACAGCGGGGATGATGCAGAAGTGTGCATGAGGATCGACGGCGGTGTCGGGGTTGGCACCTTCCTCTTCTTCCTCCTCCCCTTCTCTTTCTTCCTCTTCCTCCTCCCCCTTCTCTTTCTTCCTCTTGCTCCTCTCTTCTCTCCTCTCTGGCCGGTTGGCAGGCACGGCAGGGGCAGTGGAGCTTAGGGGGGCCAGGGGAGTTTCGGGGCCGGGCTGGTCGTTGTCGTCCCGGGAGCTCAGAGCCCGGGGCACCAGTGAGCTCAGGCGGCGGTCGGGACCCAAAGCGCTGTGGCCTTGAGGGCCGGGGGGCGCGGGTCCGGTCCTGGGGAGGGCGAGTTGCCGAGGCGCTGGTGAGGTCAGGCCGGGCAGGGCGCGAGGCCGTGTGGCACACTGGCGTGAGGCCGCTGGGCGCTGGGCCACCTGGGGCTAGGCGGGGCGCCGGCCGGGGCGTGGGCGAAGCGCCACGGGACGGGGCGGGGGTCGGCGGCGGCGGCGGCGGTGTGGGTGGGTGGGAGACGAGTGAGGAGGGGGTGGGGTTGGGCCGGCCCATTCTGGGCCTTTAGGTTGAAAGATTTGCATCTGACGTCGCAACTTGCTCGAAACATTCTCAATTTTTTACCACAGCCTACACATGCGATAACATGACACCTCGACAAGTTTCGTGATTTTCGGACTTCGTATGGACTTTATATAATTTTAAAACACTTTTCCGACAAGTGGCTCGTCATGTTACGTGAAGAAGATGCGCGAAATTTGATGCGAGTTCGTGGACAGAGACTCAACATACACCAAATACCATGAATAACATTTTTCGAAGCACTAGATTACAATATTCCATGCACTTGCAGTTCAAATTTGAATTATATATAAAAATTCAACATAATCAAATTAATCAACCAAATATAACAAAAAAAAGTAGAAAAAGCACCAAATTTGAACATGAAGTTGTAAACAATGTAGGCGGGCCCAACAAAAAATTTGGGGTCAAAAAAACAAAAAATAAATAAAAATTTGTCGAGTGTCAGCTTGGCACTCGGCAAAGACTGTCTTTGCCGAGTGCTGGCCTAGGGGCACTCGGCAAAGAATTTTAAAAAATAAAAATAAAAAAACGGTTAAAAAGTCTTTGCCGATGGCCTAACGGTGATGTCCTCGGCAAAGATTAACGGTAGGGGATGGACATCGTGTCAACCGGTGTTGCCGAGGGCCGAGCCTTTGCCGAGGGTTTAGCCCTCGACAAATAATTATTGTTGTCGTGTGCTTGGCTCTGCCGAGGGTCTGGCCCTCGGCAAAGAGTCTTTGCCGAGGGCTGTTCTTTAGCGAGGGTCAGACCCTCGACAAAGACTTTTTGCCGAGTGCCGAGCATTTGCCCTCGGCAAATCCTCAAACCGCCGGCAAAGATGCTCTGTCCGGTAGTGGTTGCCGCCGTCGGGGCGGAGGATGGCGTCCACCGAGACGTCGACCACGGCCCACAGCCCCTCGGCGTGCTGCTTGCAGAACCGAAGGAAGAGCACCTCACGGATCGGCACCAGCGGCGACAGCACCTGCAGCTCCGCGTGCATCTGCATGCATCGATCCCAGGAGCACGTACGTACGTCGTCACGTCGCGTACGCGATTGAGCAGCCGTATAGTATATTACTAGTATAGGCGTGTGCGTGCGAGAGCATGGCGGCACGAGACGAATGGGATGACTCACCAGCTGGATCGTGCCAGTGGCAGCGGCGCGGAATGGAACAACACGTACGTAGTATAGGCCATTAACATGGAGCAGATGGCTCCTCAGGTGCGTACCGCGTCCATGAGGCTGTCTACGGGGTCCACGCTGCTGGTTATGGCGATGCCGGCCTCGCGGGTAGCCTCGGAGACGTAGCCGGCGGGGCTCGGCCCGAACACCCTGGCGAACGCCCAGTGGTACTCGTCGAAGTTGAGCGTCTCCAGGCCGCCGCCGCCGTCGGGGCTGCGGAGCCAGAGCTGCTCGTCCATCTGCGCCACTTTCATGAGCTCCTCCATTGCGGCGAGCCCCAGCTCGAGGAGGACGGTGCGGTCGATGCCGTCGGCCGCGCCGTGCATCGCGCCGTCGAGGGCGCCGATGCCCACGGGCAGGCACATGGCCGCCGCAGAACCCACGGGGCCCGGCAGGCCGCCGGCGCCCATTAGGTGGGGGAGGGGCTGCAGCGCGGACGCGCCGAGGGGGCCGAGCCAGAACCCGCCGTTGGTGCCGACGCCGAGCTCGAGGCCGGAGCACCCTTGCAGGGCCGACATGGAGCTGCCAGAGGAGATTGGGCGGCCGAGGAACTTGCCGGCGAGGGCGCAGCCGCGGTCCAGCTCGTCCTTGAGCCGTGCGTTCTCTATGCGGAGGTGCTGTTCCTCCAGCGACACCTCCCCGAGCACGGCCATAACTCCAAGAACTGGGGGGCCTCTCTACTAATTTGGACGTCCCGATCCAGGCTCACGCGTGGTTCACGTGCGCTCTGACCCCGCCACGTCGGCAAAAACCTTGATCCAATGAGTTATGGACCTAAGTGACATACTTAAATAATATTATGGTGGCAGAAGTATGATTAGAGAGTTTGTGGATCTAAATGGCACCACGAGACAAGTTTAAGGGCCTACGATACATATACCTCTTTCAGAAATGCTTTGCTTGGCTGAGCAAGCAGAGCTTTTAGGTGCCGGTTTATTGGAGATGCATGTCTGGTCGAAGACATACCTAAACAAACACATTGCTGTTTGTGGCCTGGTAGGTAATTAGGCCAGCCTAACAAGTTCAACTACGAGCCCTAGTGGCGCCACGTCGGCAAAAGCGTACTGGCTAGTAGCACCATTAACGTGCTCCATGCACGCTGATGCATGATTTTTAGTGATGCCAGCTTATTATTCGTGTGTCATCTCTGTACCACATGGTTCTGTCCATTGATCGCGGCGGTGGCAGGATACCTGTTCAACAGATTAATAGATTCAGAAAACAATTTTTAACATACAATTTTTTAGCAGTTCTGTGTAGTTTGCTTTCTTTAGTTAATTATTACTTGAACATACAGCAATGCCGCCCATGGATTAAGATTAACCAGGCGTAGACGCCAGTTGTATGACGACGTTGCCTTCTTTTCAATTCCCTTTAGTTTTTGCAGCTCTGACTGAACGAAGTGTGATCCGATGCAGCAGCACGCTGTGAAATCTCTGACGAATCGCTTCAAAGAGATCATGCGACACGTCTCTGTGCTTTCTCTTATAATTTGTGTGCAGTTGCATTGCACGCAGAACTGGTTTATATATTCATTATTTATTATTTCACTGTGTTTTCTTGTGTGCATAAGCTACAGCCGACAGAGGTTATTACCTGCTGCTGAGCTCCAAGAAACAAAACTCTGAATTTTAGAGGTTATCATTCAAGTAACCGTCTCTGACAACGCCTATTTTCACAGCCTCATGATCTTCCTGGTAACCCAACTTAACATTTTGCAACCAATCTGGTTCACAGAAGGACAAAGCCCACACTGAGTTAGGAGCATGGCACCTAGATAAAGCATCAGCAGCCATATTAGTTGAGCCATGCTTGAAGACAATTCTGAATTGGAGATCCATAAACTTAAAAAGAGACTTTTGTTGAAGCTTTGTGGAAATTCTCTGTTCAGTCAAGTGGAGTAAGCTTTTGTGGTCAGTTCTAATCACAAACTCCAGGTGTTGGAGATATGGGTGCCACTTATCCACTGCCACAGTGATAGCCATGCATTTTTTTTCATAAGTAGACAATGTCTGATTCTTTGGACTGACAGCCTTACTCAAATAAGCTATTTGGGATGGCGTTCTTGCATAAGGACAGCCCCAAAACCCAACAAATCTTGCATCAGTTTCCAGAATGAACTGTTTAGAGAAGTCTAGAAGAGCCAAAACTGGTGCCTGAATCAAGGCAGTCTTCAACTGCTAAAAAGTTGTCTTAGTAAGTCATGTCCAAACAAAAGGTACACTTTCATGAGAAGATTAGACAGAGGTCTACTAATCAAGCCATAGTGCATAATGAATTTGGAACCCCCTGAGATCTTTCAAACAAGTTGGAGTGGGTCGTTGCTCCATAGCCAATACTTTTGCAGGTTCAGTAGAGACCCTCTACTAAACATGGTATGGCCATATTCTACCTCCTCCTGAGCAAAAGAACATTTAGACAACTTGATATAAAATTTGTGAGCTCTGAGGATATCAAAAACTTGTGTCAGCAACTTGACATGCTAGACAAGGTACTGGAATAGATGAGGATGTCATCCATAAACACAAAAAAAGCCCTTTTCTCAAGAGAGCAGCAAAGATCAAATTCATAATCCCTTGAAATGTGGCAGGAGCATTGGTTAGACCAAAGGGGCATGGCCAAGAATTCATAGACGCCATGGTGGGTCTTGAAAGCTGTTTTTGTGAGTATCTGCCACATCAATACGGATCTGATGATAGTCAGCTCTAAAGTCCAACTTGGTAAAGCACTTTGCTCTAGCTAATTCATCAATGAGCTCCTCCACTATAGGTATAGGATGTTTGTTCTTGATAGTTTGATGAGCATTAAGGTGCCAATAATCTACACAAAATCTCCAAGTGCCATCCTTCTTCCTCACCAATATATAGCACAGGTGATGCATAGGGACTAGTGCTTGGTTTGATTATGCCATTGCTCAACATCTCAGTCAACTGCCTTTCTATTGAATCTTTCTGCACAAGAGAGTACTTGTAAGGCCTGATGTTGACTGGTAGGCCTCCAGGAAATAACTATCTAATGATCAAAGGGTCTTGGGGGAGGCATGGAGGTAGGAGTCTAAAACATATCCTCATAGGACTCCAACAAAGACCGCACCTCCCTAGGAATTTGGCCATCATACAAAACAGCTATCCTGACTTCCTCAGGCAACAAGACATACTGAATTTGGGAAACGGTGGGGATCGAGAACCAGAATGGTTCTCAGCACCCCCCATCGGAAACAGACGAGGATTCAGAATCGTATACGTACCCACAACGTCGAACTATAGTCGGGGTCCTAGGATCCCGCTGCAGGGTGTGTCGTGCCCCTTGAGCCGCTCCCCATCTGTCGCAGGTGGGCACGATGATGTTCCGGGAGCGAGGCTGAGGTCCAACCAGTGCGGTGGAGGCGGCACAGGTGAAGGCGGACGCAGAAGAGGTCCACGCAGCGGCTCGAGCTCGCTTGGTCCTGCTCATTCTTGCATCTCTAGAGTATTGTAACACCTTGTGTTTTGCATCATATTAAAATTCACTAACAATTTGAATTTTTAAAACTTTACAACAAATTAAAATCTTGACTATTCATTTTCTGCAAAAATGTTTTAAAAATATATTTTCCGAAAACCCTGCATCAAAATTTACCGTATGCATTTAGGTTAGAATGTTGGAATGATGAAATGCTTGATTGTTTTGAATGCTTGTATGTGTGTTTGCCCTAGAATTTATTTGGCACCAAATAATCCTCCTTGGCATTTTTCCCTTGACTTTCTCCATCCAAAATAACCTCCTTGACTCTCCTTTGATTTTCCAAGCTCTCCACATTTCAAAACCTCCTTGAAATTCAAATCCAAATCTTTCATTTGTGCAGATAGTTTATTTTGGGAAATAGAAAAAGGTTCTAAATTGGGAAATGGCCATGGGCTCATTTCCCTTCCCCCCCCCTCCTTTCTGGCTGCGAAGCAGCCCGCCTCTCCTTCCGCCACTGGCCGTCGCCAGCTCGACCCGCGCCCTCGCACCCGCTATGGGCCTGCACGGCCACACGGCCCAACTTGTCGCGCCCGCCTTCTCCTGCTGACGACGAGGGCCCAGCAGTCAGCCGCTCCCCTCTCCCCCTCATTCACCGACACGCAGGACCGCCTTGTCATCTTCGTCTTCTACCCCGGGACGAACGACGCGAATACCACGTCTTCCCAATCGTCTACCTCCGCCGCCTCGAACTTGCCGTTACCGCCTTGCCCGGCCGAGCGGATAGGGATTGAGAACACCACCGCGGTCCCCACGAACCTTCATGACGCCTTATCCTCCCCACCCCACCACGCAGCAGCTCCAGGACAACCGACTGTTGCCACCGCCATAGCCGAGCTTGGAGTTTTCCGGCCAGGAGAGGATAAGCTCGCACTGCGCGCCATCTCCTTAGAATTTGAACGCGTGCGCGGGAAAGAGGAAGCTTGGCGCACGCGGAACCGAGGCGCCCGAAGGAAAATATCTCCCCCGGCGAACCACCATTGGCGACATATAAATAGGCCTCCCCCGAGCCCCTCCGCTCCAACCATCAGCGCCATAAGCTTCACCTAGTCTGGGAACATACCATCCCCTATTCTCTTCCCTTCTCCCCTCTTCTCTTAAGCCCTGGCGCGACTTCCCCCAAATCGGTGACCATGACCGCCATGGGAGCCGAGCTCCAGCCTCTCCCTCTCTAGTGCCCCTTCAGGAAATTGGTGAAGAGGGCGAACTCCCTGACTCATCCTCCACCCACCATCGCTAGCCCTCTCTCCCTCTTCGGGTTGCTCTGCCTCCATGAGGAGCCGCCGCCGAGCCACCATCACCAACGCTCGACGCCGGCAAGGCACGGATGAACCCAAACAACCCCGCTAAGCGCTCACTGGTGCACGGTGACCACACGACGCCTTTCTCCATTCACTAGAACGCCCAGGAGGAGCATCTACTCGTCACCCCACCACCGCTGCAGCCTCGACGAGCCACCACCGCCGCCTCTAGCACCGGAAGTCACCGCCGACTGCTTCAGGCGATGCGGGATGGCCTTGGGAGCATCATCCTCCCTGTTATATCAAGCTTCGATCGGAGACGCCGCTGGTAATGCTAGCTCCGGCGAACCCCCATGCCCTTCCCCTGCATCGTCGCCGTGTTGCCTCCGTCTCCCTCTGTCTCTCTGTGCGGTAGGCCCATGACCGAAATGACGTCCACGTCGTCAGACGCGAGGAGCCAAAGGTGACTCACATGTCAGCGACAGCATACGCCGACACAACGGACCCACCTGTTGGCCACCCACCGCCACACCTGCCTCTTGTTCTCTCTTCCTGCACCCGGTCCATGTGGATAAGAGTGAAAGGTCCTAAATGGTTAGAGGGGGGGTGAATAGCCTATAAAAAATTCTCTACAAATACAATAGAGCAAGTGGTTAGTAACCTAAATGGCAAAATTCAATTTTGCTCTAGCTCTACAAGGGTTGCCAGCCACCTATACCAACAATTCTAGTCGCTATGATCACTAAGCACACACACGGCTAAGTCACTACTTTCTAAGCTAGTGAGCTCTCAAAGACTAACTAAAGAGCCTTACTAACTAAACTAATAAGCTCTTAAAACTAACTACACTAAAGAGCTTAACTACACAAGTATGAAAGTAAGTACAAGAGAGTGAGTAGGGTGATTATACC